TAATTGACAATAAATCCTGCTTGCCTATAAAAAGCACTTCACTAGTCATTTTCAAGATGGTCATGATTTTTTATGATGCGGAACTTTTAATTTACAGGGATGATAAAAATAGATTTACTTTCAGCCACTTGTATTTGATTTAATTACCTAATCAACTATAAATCATCTACTATTGAAAAAGTAATTTAACGGAGATGATATTTTGTCTTTTTTTTTTTTTTTTTTTCTAAAATAGAAAAGGGTCTTCTGTAAAGGAAGCTGAGATAGGATTTAGAGAAATTACAAATTCTATCCTTTTTAAGAAAGGGTTAGCAGTTCAAAGCCAAGATGCTTGGTTTTACTGAATAAAGGCCTCAATTTTTGAAAGACTTGTTTATAGTTATTTAATTTCCTGTTAGTAAAAGAGCTGTACAGCAAAAGACTAACTATGGATATTAGTGATCTGAAACAGGCATTGTATGATGGAACTTTTCTCTGTCAAAGATCTGTTTGAGCTAATACCACACCATATGTCTAGTGGCCAATGAACATATAGCATGACTGTGAACAAAGGAACAACTGTGCCATCACCACGTGAGGAAGAGAGAAACCAGTGTGATTTTAAGTCGGAATCAGAGTGGGTTGATAGAAGATTGTGAGGCTTTATTTTGTGAATTATACTGTAATTTTTAGTTTCTAGATGAAAAACAGGGTAAGATTTCCTGTATTTTAATGGCTATTTCACAAAAAAAAAAAAAAAAAAAAAAAAAAAGAAGTAATACGTAAAAAAAAGTCATTAAAAATAGAAGAAAAATGTAGATTTAAAAACAAACAATCAAAAAAAAAAAACAATGATGCTTTGAAAGAAGAAGGATGAGATTTTATAAATGGAAGGTTACAATATTTAGTAGTTTCTATGTACAGTTTCTATGTTTAAAGAGACAAACTGTATACTGGGAATGAAAATAATTCATCCTATAATACATAGATTCCCAATGTCTCTCTTGAAAAACATTATTTATTTCTTAAATTCCATTAACAAGTGTGGGTATAGCATCCCCCAGACTATATAACATGAAGCTGATAGTACTCTAGACAGGAGATGGTCCAGGTGAAGAGCTTGTGAAATATTTTCAGAGAGGAATTTTGGTCAGCTGGATTACAGAACAAGAATTGATTTTAAATGTGAGTGGCTGAGGGAGCTGGGCTTGTTCAGCCTGGAGAAAAGGAGGCTCAGGGGTGACCTTATCGCTCTTTACAGATACCTTAAAGGAGGCTGTAACGAGGTGGGGGTTGGTCTATTCTCCCATGTACCTGGTGACAGGATGAGGGGGAATGGGCTAAAGTTGCATCAGGGGAGTTTTAGGTTGGATGTTAGGAAGAACTTCTTTACCGAAAGGGTTGTTAGACACTGGAACAGGCTGCCCAGGGAAGTGGTGGAGTCACCATCCCTGGAGGTCTTTAAAAGACGTTTAGATGTAGAGCTTAAGGATATGGTTTAGTGGGGACTGTTAGTGTTTCGTCAGAGGTTGGACTCGATGATCTTGAGGTCTCTTCCAACCTAGAAATTCTGTGATTCTGTATTCTTGTTTGACATTACTTTAAAAACAGATTAAAAAAAAAAAAAAAAAAAAAGCGCCCACCCAATCAACAAATTCACCAGATATATCTCCTATTGTCTGAGTATAGGGAAAATAAAAAAATAATAATAAATTTTTTTAGAAAAAGAAAGATTAAAAAAAAAATGTGAGTTACTGTTGGATTATGAAAATAATAAAAGCTAAGAAAGTACATAAAGCAAAGATAGGAATAGTCATGCCATTAACATTATGAATGAAGGAAAATCAATGCTAGAAAATATCTCCTTGCACATTCAGGTCACTTTATGAGTTGGGAATAAAGCCAGCTTCTGTAATAAGGGTAAAAGAATCATGTGAAATAATGAAAACTGGACTGGAAAGTGGAGATTTGAGACTTGATAACTAGAAAGCTTCATTAAATTTAAGGCAGAAAAAAAAAGTAAAGTATGTGTGTTAATAAAAATTTACATTGTTCTTACTTTTTTTAACAACAGCTTTTAAAAAAGCTGAAGAAATTGATATCTTGCATCCTATAACTCTTTTCATAGAAGATTTAGGAACCTTGCATTTTAATTTCCATAATCAAAGGTTTTTATTCTCATAAGTCCACTGTGTAATTTACAACCAACATGAAATTACATCCGCCCCATAAAATTCCTCAGAATTACCATAGGTAAATGAAAGTTGCCATACTGAGTTACACCGGTATCCCATTGTCAGATGAGGCTGGGATGAGGTACTTGGAAGACTGTATAAGAAAGCTTAAATGGGTTAATTCGGATATAGCTTACCCCCACAAAAAAATGTTTCTTTTTTGTAGTCAGTAAGAGGTTGGATTACACATTACTCTTGGACACATGGAGATAATGTTCTCCCCAACTGTTTGTGGCTTCTTTTTAACCCCTAGCAAATGAGTATTAGAATTTATGGGATTTTAGCACAGTTATTTAGTACAGCTACTCATATATGGCTTCTATTAGGGATGAGTTTTTGTATTACCAACCTTTTTGCACCTCTTATTGACAGTCTTATTGACTTATTTCAGGCTTGGCTCTGGATCTTAATTTTCTGACTATAGATTTATGTCTTAGCAGGATACATTCATTGGCTGGGTTTTACTTCTGTATGGTTTTCCATGGTATAAGAAATTCTAAATTGAAGCCGTCCTGATGGTATGCTTTGTGTCTGTTGACTTGGAGATGGACATGGCCCCTTTCTAAAAACAAGTGAGGGCACAAATTGCAGTCACATCAGGCACCCCAGTATTTCCATTGAGTACAGGTGTAGATGGTGACTTAAATGGCCAGGACATGAATGGGAAGCGGCTCATCAGGGTGTGTCAGACTTACTGCACATGGACTTATGTATACATAGCTTATCTACAGTGACAACATGCCTTCAGTTGCTGGAAACTTGGCATGATAGAAACATACAAAGTTGATGTAAAATTGTTACACTGGATAATGCTAATGGGAAAGTGAAAATGTGCAGAATGTAGAGAGTATTTTTCTCTTCTTTCTAATTGTGTGTAGATACTATTCCTGTAGTTGCTTTATTCTTCTGTGAGTCAGGAGTAATTCTGGTATTGGTTTGTTCCAGGGAAACTCAAGGTTATGAGCTGAGGCCCATTTGACAAGCATATGAACCGGTAATTAAGTTCCTGAGTATTTTCTAGTGGAAAAAGAATGAGTTTCCAAGACCATTCTCTTAAGTGTGGTTCAACTACCTTTTGGCCTAGACTGTCACCTAGATAAGAGAAATCAAGCACAAATGACACAAGTATTTTTAGAAATGACAGAGCCTACTTTCAAATTACTGGCAGAAAGGAAAAGACAATGCCACCTCTTTTGTAGGTTCAGACAAAGTTATCTGTATTAATTTTTCTGGTTTATCTGTTAGCTCCCTGGGAGCTCTTGTCCAAAAGCAGATCACTGCCAAGTAGGATATCTTAGACAAATCACTTTCTTTACATACAGTAACTTTTGTATTAACTAGCATACAGTCTCTGAAAGGTAAAGGATACAGAGATACAGTCAATCAAAAGTAGTAGAAAATAAGATGCAATAAGAGGAGAGCATATATTTTTGATGTTCAGACTACCCAGAACTTGAGAGAGTTTATGACATGCTCTCCTGGGTCCATTTTAACCACTATTTTAACCTTTTGAACTTCTGTATATGAATATTTCTGTAAGATTTAACATGTTTCCCTGTGCCTGACCTCACAGTGCAGGGCAACTGCTTGCCCTTCCAGGAAACGAATGCAAAGTGTGTAGCCTGTGAATTGTGGCTATATAGTTCTCATAGCATTGGTAACTTCATGATCAACTTCAGAACTCTCTTCACCCATCAGTGCTTATTTTACACGTGCATGCTTTATCAGGTTAGATGTTTTAAACACAACATTCTGATTAAATATATCCTGCTCAAATAAGTCAAGAAAGTAAGAATAGCAGGGAACAGCAGAAAGAGCAGAGAACATGGAATCTGTAATTACTTTGACTTTTGATGTATCCAGAGGCAATTTTTTTTTTAAATACTCCTTCTCTTCCCACATATGCTATGAAGTCAGTAGTTGTATTGTCTTAAAACTGATGTTGGTGGAAAAAAAAACCAACACGTAATATGTAACAAGGTATAACTGAGTCCTCAGATGTTAAGATCTGTGCATTAGAAAATCAACTCTTCTTCCCCTGTGTTCAAGGACCACTACTCACAGTTATATCAAAGGTATGACAGACATTTGCATTTACCTTTATTTCTATCCTTCTTCCCATCAGAAACTTACCAAACATATCCTTATTACATGTTCTTAGGCAGAAGTATCACAGATGGACTCAAAGAGCTTCCTCGAACAAGTGTAGGTCCCAACATCTTTTTAACTGTATGTTTTCTGGTATTTTATCTTTAAAAGACTCTCTGATCTATAGACTGTGAATAACGTTGAGCATCTGCTGCTTCCACAGAACTAAGGCAGAATTTTGCCATGAATTTTACTGAGAACTGAGTGCATTCTGACCACAGGATTTTTATTTTTTTTTAGGCATGCCAAATGGATAATTGGCATTTGTTCTAACATAATAAACAACAAAGCTTCAAACAAAGAAGCAATTGTAAGAATTACTTAGAAGCTGTTGATACTAACAACAGGACTGAAAGAAAGATCCTCTTCATTACTACAAGAAGCTATTGATAGACTTCAAATAAAGTCAGTAATTCCTGAAGGCACTAAGTAAAAGCTGTAACTTCCTTCTGTTATTACTGCAAATCCAAGTATAAATTGGGAATTGACCCAGACAGCTGTTGTTTTAACCTCTCCATCTCTAAAAGGTGTAACTTTTTTTATTCACTCAATGTTTGCTAAAAATGTTGATTTATTTTTGTTTTATATAATGATCAAGATAGTCTCTGAACAATCATTTAAATTGTTTTCAGGTTTCTGATGTAGTTCTCTAGTACAGATTCCTTAATTCCCTCTCCCAGAGCAGGTTTGTGTGCATCACATCTGCAGTGTTCCTAATGAGTTGCTAATGAGGCTTTGTAAATGTGGAGGCACAGCCAATGAGGTGGTGGTGCTGTGAGGCTGATGCACTATCTAGAGCTTTTTTGGAGGTACCATTTGTAAGAGTCTCCCTACACTTAACAAGCATGTTTTCCCATGTAACTCTAAAGCCCTGAACTTTGAGAGAGGTAAGAAAGACTCCTGGCTCTTCTTGGATGCTTTCTTTTTTTTTTTTTTTTTAAATATCTATAATTGATTATCACTGCTTTGTATACCCTACTTAGACTAGGAGTCTTCAATTTTGCATTTCTAAGTTCCTTAGCTCAAAAGAGGGGGAAAAAATTGTCACCCAACAGTAAGAGAACAGTTGATATACCAAAATTAGTCTCGCATTCAAAATTGACGAGGATCACATTTTGAATTGGTAACAGATGGAGAAATACCGAGTTTTGCCTTAGTGTCTATAATGCTTCTTATGCTGGAATGTGTTTTTATTTCTTGCATAGTTCACTTGAATCTTATAATTCTAGCAAAATCCACCATAAATGATAAATCATTTTTTCTGATTAGTCATATTATATTAATATAGTCCACTTAGTTTGAGGTATCTTTTTTAACTAAAAATAGGAAAAAGAATGCTACTGAAGAGAGTAGTTAGTGAACGCTCTACTACTCAAGAAAATTAGTAAGACTGAAAGCCTAAAGAAGTGAATAGTTGTTGCACTTGTATTGATTACCTTAACCATTTTGGATAAAATTAACCTTTTGGTATGTATCTCATATGGAAAACGTGGGAAACTACATTGCTCTGAGAACAGTGTACAGTAAGTTGTCATTACAGAACATGGCCATGGACCATTATTCAACATTTCTGCAAGTTAAGAAATAATTTTAATATGCTTTTCTTTACTGCTTAAGCTGCTTACTTACCAAGTCCAATCTTCTTTCTAAAAGAGACTCTTTATTTGTGAAAGTATTTATACAAAGAATATCAGCATTATTTTACAGTGACTTTCTAAAGAGCCAGACAAGTCTATTTGAAGCTTTTCTTTGGTATTAACTAGATATTTTATCATAAGTGAGCAAGGCGTTTCTGGTTCACTAGTCTTTATTGCTTTCTTGAATGCACTTCAACCTCATTCACAGTTCAAGTCTATATAATCCTTATGCTTTTCATACTTTTAAATCCTCCACAGTGTTTTCTGTATATCTGACTCTGCTAATATCCACAGAACTTGGGTCTTAAAGCACTCTCCTGAGTTAGCATAATTCTGCACTGAGAGTAAAATACACATTTTCAACAATCTCTTTACTGCTTAAAAACAAGGGCAATGTTATCTTCAATGCCAACATCCTCAAACCTCACTTTTCCCTTTTGTAGCCCCAGATCTCATCCTTACAATGAAAATATGAACTATAGCTTGTTCATTCATTTATTATTATTCTGAACACCAGTTATAAATCTGCTGTCCAATTGTGTCACCCATTTTTTGATTTGAGTATGCTGTCAGTATGCCTTTATGGCTCTTGCTTGATATTACTTTAATCTCCCCACACACACACTTTCTTCTTGAATTTTACATGAAACGTTAAAAGATAATTGGTCTTGTGCAAATATGCAAACAAACTTAATTGAAAAAGAAAAAAGAAAGAAAGAGGAAAAAAAAAAGCAGTTTGTAGTTACTTTCCTGCCTTGCTAAAGTTTGTCTATCCTAATTGCAAAACAATTTAAATGATTTTACTTGTACTAAATAGTCAAGCTATTCACAGAAAACAGGCTTGTTTTTTTTTTGTGTTGTTTTTGTTTGTTTGTTTTAAAAATGTAAGACAGTCGAAAAGATTTGGCTTGAGCTACTGCAGAGTAGTCTTGGTTTTTTTGAGACACTTGATTTGCAGTCATTACAAATGAGAATGTGAGTTCAAGATGAACTGCTGTGGGTTGCTAAAGTAATTGCAGAACAAAGGCATGTTCTCTGCTCAGTTCTCACAAGTTGAGGTGTCTGTTCATCTGTCAGTTCTCTTTCCTTGGTTCACCGTTTGTTTTTATAGAAGCCCATTCAGTTTCAGGGAACATAATCAGAGAGTAGATGGGTCTTTTCTTTTGCTATGCAAAATGTTTGGCAAATCATTCACCCACCATCCCTCATTCCCTATTTAAGGTCAAAATGCTGTGTGAAAGTGGGAAAACCTACTAGATTGATTTATAAAGCTAAAAAGAAGAGGTTTTCTGACTAGACTGAGCAACAGCTGTGTCCCTCAGGCTATGCTATTTCCATCCCGAAAGCACAGGGATGGAAAGAAGGATGTTTAGACCCATAAAAATTCTTTCAGCAACAGTATCTACACATTTCCTTCCCACTCAAGGAATTTTAGTATGCTGCAGTGGCCTTTATTGTTTAAAAATCTTTTTATTATTTTTTTTTTTTTTTTGTGATATTTATCCTCCCTGTTATGGTATTTCTTCTGGGGGCTTCAGTATGACATTGACTATGTTGATGGACCTGTCTTTTAATACCTACTAACCTGTTCTTTCTCATTCCTCTCTCTTTGAAAATTCCTTGGTTTAAAGGATAGGTTTCAGGTCCATCTGAGTTCAAAGTGTGCTATAGTTTTTCTTGTCAAGCTTCACTCAACAAAGGATGAAGGCACACAAGCTTAACAGGTTGTTGCTTTTGTGGTATCATATGGTTTTCATGTTGTAAAATTACATTTCATAGTCTTAATTGTTACCAAGAGTAAAATCATGTGGTCTGCTAATTATGAAGAGCAGGAAATATTTGAGTAAATGTGGGTTTTGAAGTTCTCATACTACATGGATAAGAAGGCAGGGCCTTCCTTTCTGTAGGCATAAGACTTTGGTTTGGTCTGTATTTGATTTCAGCCATGAATACTTTTAGCCATAAATACTCTGAGATGCTTTAAAGGAATATAAGCTCGAAAAACGTGACGAGATATATAATGCCACAGTGTTCGCAAGGGTAGAATCTACTTAGAAAGTCAACACTGTTTACTCATCTATTATGGTATAGATTTTGCCATCACTTTTCTGTCCCTGTCTTCAAGTCTTTGTCAAAATGAAGGAGCTGTTTACTGTAAATATATTCATATATCATATTAGGGAGAAATAGATATTCCATAGCAAGAGTGGAAAAAGGAAGAAAAGTCATGCAGTTGTTTAAAGGTTGCCAAAGACATTTTTCTATCATTTTCTGAGGTACTTTAACAACAACAAAAATTCCTTTCTCAACTCTAACTAGTTAAAGAAAGCAGTGACCAGTAACTATAACCAGTAAATAAAACTATTGGGGGGAGGGGGAGGAGGTGGAAGAGGGTTGAGGAGGAAGATGGTTCTCCTTTCTAACGCAGCAACTGAAATCAACATGAAAGTTATAGATCAAACAGCCTATTCCCATTCTCCTTCTTACCCTCAGTGCTTCAACCTTTTCTATAATGTACCTTTACTTAGCAGACTGAAAAATAAGAGGTATTTTGAATAACCAGAGAATGAAATCCATGTCATGCATGTCGTTTTCTCCTGTGTTTTCCTATATATGAAGTGGTAATATTTTTATATTTGCTTATGAGAAGATTACTGACTGCTGCACTACCCTTTCAGTGAAAACTGAAATATTGGAATTGTTTATTGTTAGTTAAAGAAAACTTTAGTTCATTTTTCAGACCACTTAAGGGTATCATTGAAAAAGAGACTATTTTTCTTCAGTCAATTTTTTTTTTCATAGATTTCACAACAGTGTAGATTTGTTTAATTCCAATATGGTTACAAAGTTACAAAGAAGTGAATGCAATAAAATATCTTAATTGTTCCACACTTTCAGGCAGTAGGATTGATCATGTGTTTGTGTATCACCTGCTCTCCTTAATAGCCACTAGCTGGAGGAGAGACATACATGTTTTATAAGCCACCTGTACAAATGCAAGGCTATCAAATTGCCTTCTGTTGAGACTATGTCACATTTAGATTCAAAAAACAAAGAGTATAGTTTGAAATGGATTCTTTATACAGCCAATGGTATACTTCTACCTTTTTACAACAGCATGTAAAGTTTTCACAACAATCCCCCACACTACAAGCATGAATGCTCTTCAGTTTTGTGTCAGCTCTGGAGACCAGGAGGGCTTGGGCAGGACTGTATTTTTGGGCAGAAGTACGTGGTGGGAGGTGGAGAGAAGGCAACATTCTCTTTTACCATTTCTCTGCTGTGCAGGAGGAGGAATTTGGCAGTAGGAGAAAATCACCTTCCTATGACCCACAGGAATTCACACTAGTTCAGCAACAAAGCCTGGTCCTAAAATTAAAAGTAGATCTGGCTAGAATTCTATTAATTTTGCTAAAAGTCCACTGGTGGTGTGTGCGTCCAGCTGTCTGTCCAATCCTTTAAATGCAACAGTGAAGCATTTGGCTTTTCTTTAAAATATCTAAAGATGGTGTTTTCATTATTGATTACATGAATTAGCAGTTAGCATTCTGCTGTGGTCTAGCAAATCTTGAGTCTGCTGTTCTGTATCATAAAATAATGCAGAAAATCTGGGAATATTGGTACATTTTAGTCTTAGAGAAACAATGTATTTTTTTCTTAATTTTTTTTTTCCTGTATATACTATTACTTGCAGTTATATACATAATGAATGATATGAAAAAAATTAAGTATGGAGCACTTTCCTTTATAGTTATTACAGTTATATTTTCTGTTAAAAAATAATCTGTAGTGCAATGCAAAAGGATTTGCAAGACTTACCATTGTGAATTCATGAAGAGGGAGAAAAAATATATCATTGAATGATTTGATCAGCTTTCTGTGCTTTCCAGCCTTCCACCAGTAAGGTGCTGATCTAACTAGTGGCTCAGGTGGTGATCACAAGACAAGTGGGGTGGGAAATATTTTCAGTGACATAATTGACTTTGCATTGAGTTGGATTTTACGTGTAGTCTGACATGAAAAACAGATTCAGAGAAGTTACTCCTTGAACTGACTGCCTGTGTAAACATGTTGAATTCTAGATCACTGCAAAACAGTTCATAAAGAATTTAGGAAGCCAAAACATATCAAGTACATTAAAGTAGTTTAACAAAGCAGCAACAAAAGTGTCAGTCAAGATTTCAGCATCCTTCTTGAATAAGACAGGGTGAACTTAATGAGTGACTTCAAGGGGTAATATGATCATTACA